AACCAACACGAAATAACTAAAGCTAAAATTAAGCACCTGTCATGCCAACAGAAGTGTCAAAGAGCTGTCCAAATTCAATTCTTGCATCTGCTAGGACCTGTCTGATATTGTCTTCTGTTAGATCGAGAGGCTGTGAAGGCTGAAATGTTGCTGCTGATATGGTTGTGAATCTCTTTCTGGTTGTTGTTGGGTTTGTACAGATCCTCAGCCTCTGGCTTTGTGTGTGGTTGTGGTTAAGGGTTTTCAGGGTTTGGGTTTTGGTGATGTGATGACAAGCAATGGGGAGGAGGGCTGGTGTTGGGGTTGTTGATGTGATTTGGGGGTGGTTGTGATGAAGAACTGGTTTGATATTCATCCTTCCTCACTCTTGCAAAGTTTTTCCTTCGATTGTCTTTCAAAGGCAAGCGCCCGCTATGGATGAACCAAGACCAACCAACCAGTGGAGAAATGGATAAGGAGCAGTTTTTTAATGGATAGAATTCATTCATTGCCTGGTTCTAGTAGGTCTTAAATTGGGTTTTATGGGCAATTTCTGCTGAGGCATCTAAACCCATGGATGAGACTGAAACTGGAGACAAGAGCTATCCCAGTTTCATGTTAATCTGACTATTTAAGCCATCAAATTCATAAGGGTTATTTGCAATAATGCAAAGCCATCAAATTCATAACTCAGATCTTGTTCATTACATATTTTCACGGGTGGGTTGATTGTAGTATCTTTTCCTCCCTTCAAATTCTGAATAAGATGATGATTTGAAGATTAGTTGTCTACCCTTCAAACCCCAACCAATCATCACAGCAGAAAATGAGAAATATGGGAGCAAAGACGATTATTCTCTCCATCTTATAATTTACTTGGAAATAATACAATTACATAGCCTCAGCCTGCTTCCACGGTGCCAAATAAACTTTCCTGCTTAAAACCTACACACCATTGTAATTTGTAACTGCATTATTATGGTGCATCAAGCTCCTAGGCTTTTGACCCAGTTGGACCATATCATATGAACAGAGACACGATAAAACGGCAGGGGTAACGAACCACGGAATTGCATGCTTGCATGCTACTTGAATTCTCTGAAAATCTGGTTAAGTCCCATTCATTGGGTTTATTGTGACAGGCTGCTGCTCAAATTACCAAGAACTGAAAAAGAAATCACACAAATCCAAAACTCGTTTACAACTCCCTATCTGAATCCGACATAGATATGCAGTGTACTACCACTATATCGCGGAGAAGTACTCTTTGCTGAGCTTGGGGTCTGGCTTCATGGATTTCTCCCCAGGCTTCCACCCAGCAGGGCAAACTTCATCAGGATTGTCCTGAACGTACTGCAAGGCCTGCAGGATCCAACCCAGGCAAAGAAAAGAAGCGACAAAAAGCAGTTAGAAAATGTAATAGGCAACACAACAAAGAATTTCTCAGATATAAGGCAGATCTTGGAAACTAAATCATCCCATTTCTATCTTGGCCTTGATGAATATGTTTACCTGGAGCGTTCTCTTAGTCTCATCCACACTACGGCCAATGGCAAGATTGTTAATGGTGGAGTGTTGAATGACACCTTCCTTGTCAATAATGAAAAGTCCTCTCAATGCAATTCCCTATCACAGCAAAACCAAACTTCTAAGTAATCCAGATTATAACATCATTGAGTCTCCCACAAGTTTCTTATTCACTAAATTCAGAACCAATTATAATTAAATCTCATACCTGATCTGGGATCAGCACACCGTAGGATTTTGAAATTGATTTGGTGACATCAGAGATCAATGGATAGTTCAAATCACCAAGTCCTCCTGACTTCCTATCTGTTTGGACCCATGCAAGGTGCGAAAACTACGAAAAATACAGTAAAAGACTAGTATAAATTCATCTCGCAAACCCAAGAGCAATTTTCAAACCATTTTACATCAAGTAAGCACACACACATACGCCCAAATCAGATGTGCAAAACATCAAATACAGAAGTCAAAATAACCAAAAATTTGCGAAAATAAGCTGATTCGCATCATCATCAATCATCATCAAGCACACAACCTTCTGATGTTGCTAGACTTGGTGAATCCATTTTATTCCAACCATAATATCAGTTCTCCTGGTTCTTTTAATGTTTCAACCATGCTTTTTTTCTTGGTTGAATGCCCTTCTTGTCTATAAGTGTTGTTTCTCCACCAACACTGGGAATTGGCATTTTGGCCCAAAATCACATACATTGTTTGCCCCACCCACCCCACGAGTCCAATTTCAGTTGGCAGTCAGAAAATCCGATGCATAAAAACTTAATTCCATGAACACACTTAATCTTGAAATTTTTATGTATCAAAATAATGAAGCATATATATAGTCCAATGTAAAGTTCATCCCACGGTACAGACAGAATCATTATCTTGTATCAAAATAATGAAGCATATATATAGTCCAATGTAAAGTTCATCCCACGGTACAGACAGAATCATTATCTTGTATCAAAATAATGAAGCATATATATAGTCCAATGGGGAATTTAGCACATTATAATATGTGCATGCTCATTGACCTTTTGCAACATGGTACAGCAGACCAAAACCTTGGACAAGGTTATAACACGTCTGTAAGCAGAATATTGACTCTTTTGTGGAATGTCTGGCAATGCATTATAAAAGAACAATGCAAATTAAAGAATTTTTTTTTGAAACAAGGGCTTTTCAAAGCACATTATGATATTAGAGATAGTGGGAAGCAGGAATGAACTTACCACACTGTCAACTGAAACACCCAAGATTTCTGTGTTGAGTTGCTCAAACTCAGCGTGACGGTCACTAAAAGCAGTGATTTCTGCAACAAGGGTCAAACACAGAAAACAGAAGGAGAACTCAGCATCGAATAAAGATTGAAAATATTGCAGAGAAATGTTGAAGGCGAAAACAAACCTGTGGGGCAAACAAATGTGAAGTCCAATGGGTAGAAAAACAGAATCACATATTTCTTCCCAATGTATTCAGAGAGCTTGACCTGAAATTCAAAAGCAAAGCTTCAGTTGCAAATTGCAATGAACCCAAAAAATGAAACTACAGCATGCGATTGCAGGAAAAGGACGAAGAGATAAAAATTCAACCTTGATGAATTCCTGGTCAAAAACAGCCTCAGCCTCAAAATCAGGAGCTACGTTTCCAACCAGAGGAAGCTCATCCGCAGAAGCTTTGACGAGGAAGGACCTTCTGGAATGAGCACCACGGGATAGAGAAACCGAGTGGGCGACGCGTGGCAGGCGGAGGCCGTTGAGGGATTTGGGGAAGGTTAGGGTTTGAGAGATGGGCTTGGAAATGGAGGAAGAAGCGACGAGAGGCGTGGATTTGGAGGAGAAAGCGCTGGATGGGGTTGAGGAGATGAGAGCGGTGGAGGCAGCCATGGTTTGTTGAGAGCTCACCCGCTCAGTCACTCACTGGTCAAGAGTCACTGTGCGTGTGTGGGCTGAGAGTCTTAAGGTGGAGAAAAGGTAGGGAACAGTGAGAGGATAAGTAGTGGTTGGAGGGTTGGTGACAAGGCTGAACCGAACCGGCCAACCGGGCTCCATACATTTGGGGGAACCGGAAATCTAGGTAACTAAATATATTTTCGATCTTTTTTGTATAATTTGTGTTTTTTGAGCTGGCATTGTTACATGGTTTGGGCCTTGGTACTCATTTGTGGAATTTCATTTCTTGGTTAGGTCCTTTGGGTAGTGGGAAAACAGATTAGGATTATGTTAGGTCTATGGTTTGATTGGTGCCCTACCTTCGAATTCTATGTAAAATCTTGAACTTTAACACCATGACTAGGATAGGGTTACTTTGGGGCTGGGGCCTCATGGTGTTTGCTAGGTAAAATCTTGTACCTTGGCATTGTGGTTTGAGATCCTTAAATGGGAATGCAATTTGAACTTAATTATAACTTATTTTACTTTTTCATCATTATGTTGTTTGATTGTGAATCTATACAACACATTCTAACAAAAATTAATATTGTTGATGCTCGGCACATACCAAGCTCATCTGCCCAATAAAAGCATGACATGTGGGCCTCGTGCTACGAGCTGGAATAAACGAGTCGTCCTTTCTCGGCCTTGGCCTCGGAGCTATCTTGGGAAGATTGAAAGGATGTAAGTCAACCATGTTGATGACAAGACCCCCTATAACCGCCGATACGCCACACATCACAAAGCGTGCCCACGTCCCTTCGAAAGCCAGGTGTAAACTGCCTGGGTCACCACCTCACCAGATGGGACTGCCGCCGTGTGCAACAAGCTATTCTGCCCATGCCCGCCCCTTAGTAGAAATGTAAGAGGGTCATCATGAGCAGAGGACGTGGACGAACCCTGACCACCCATTGTTTGACAGATCTAATGTGACACAAACGGCTCGGCTCCGAACCGAGGTGGTCGGCTTGTAATTTAATTCATTTTTGTTCCCCCTATAAATAGAGTAGGAGTCCTTGTAAGAAAGGGGCATGACTTTTTAGATCTCTCCCAAAAGAAAAGAATAAAAAGTGAAACCTTGTCATTTGCCATATTTCGATTCTCCTCTCCAAAGCTTATTTTCCTACGAGATCATCTTAATATAATTGTACTCCTTTTCCTTTATGTTAACCACTTAAATATCTGTGGTTCAAACAAATATGATCAATCGTCTTACTTTGCAGTATAACAACATAATCATCTTATGCTACGATGATTATGAAAATTCGAAAGAATTAGTAGTTTTTGGGTAAAAGTGAGTGAAACTGGAAAATGTGCAAATCCTTTTGAGACCGAGTATGTACCCAACAACTCCCTATATAATTGGCATTGTAAGGTCCAATAAAATGGGCTGGCCCAATAATTTTCCTTCCTATTTTCAGATACATTACTGATTATATATATTTTTTTGTTTAAAAGATAGATTACTGATTACTCCCTCACCAATCACAATCTCCACAATGATATTTCTTGGAGCATTTTAAGCCTTATCCTCTACCCACCCGACACCCCTTTCTCCTTCCCTCCCTTTTCCCCAAAACAACACTTCCACTACTCATACCCAGCCATGACCAGCACCCAAACCACACCCAAATGCAAGAAACCCACTTCCTCACCACCACCAAGCAACCCTTTTTCCCCTCCTACCCCCACCCCAACCCCAAACCCCAATCCCTCTCCTCCTCTCACCATGACTCTTTCCACTCTTTACACCCCCCAAACCCAAAATCCCCCCGCTCCACCGCTCTCATCTCCTCAACCCCGTCCAGGGCTTTCTCCTCCAAATCCACGCCTCTCGTCGCTTCTTCCTCCATTTCCAAGCCCATCTCTCAAACCCTAACCTTCCCCAAATCCCTCAACGGCCTCCGCCTGCCACGCGTCGCCCACTCGGTTTCTCTATCCCGTGGTGCTCATTCCAGAAGGTCCTTCCTCGTCAAAGCTTCTGCGGATGAGCTTCCTCTGGTTGGAAACGTAGCTCCTGATTTTGAGGCTGAGGCTGTTTTTGACCAGGAATTCATCAAGGTCGAATTTTTATCTCTTCGTTCTTTTCCTGCAATCGCAAGCTGTAGTTTCATTTTTTGGGTTTATTGCAATTTGCAACTGAAGCTTTGCTTTTGAATTTCAGGTCAAGCTCTCTGAATACATTGGGAAGAAATATGTGATTCTGTTTTTCTACCCATTGGACTTCACATTTGTTTGCCCCACAGGTTTGTTTTCGCCTTCAACATTTCTCTGCAATATTTTCAATCTTTATTCGATGCTGAGTTCTCCTTCTGTTTTCTGTGTTTGACCCTTGTTGCAGAAATCACTGCTTTTAGTGACCGTCACGCTGAGTTTGAGCAACTCAACACAGAAATCTTGGGTGTTTCAGTTGACAGTGTGGTAAGTTCATTCCTGCTTCCCACTATCTCTAATATCATAATGTGCTTTGAAAAGCCCTTGTTTAAAAAAAAATTCTTTAATTTGCATTGTTCTTTTATAATGCATTGCCAGACATTCCACAAAAAAGTCAATATTCTGCTTATAGACGTGTTATAACCTTGTCCAAGGTTTTGGTCTGCTGTACCATATTGCAAAAGGTCAATGAACATGCACATGTTATAATGTGCTAAATTCCCCATTGGACTATATATATGCTTCATTATTTTGATACAAGATAATGATTCTGTCTGTACCGTGGGATGAACTTTAAAAATTTCAAGATTAAGTGTGTTCATGGAATTAAGTTTTTATGCATCGGATTTTCTGACTGCCAACTGAAATTGGACTCGTGGGGTGGGTGGGGCAAACAATGTATGTGATTTTGGGCCAAAATGCCAATTCCCAGTGTTGGTGGAGAAACAACACTTATAGACAAGAAGGGCATTCAACCAAGAAAAAAAGCATGGTTGAAACATTAAAAGAACCAGGAGAACTGATATTATGGTTGGAATAAAATGGATTCACCAAGTCTGGCAACATCAGAAGGTTGTGTGCTTGATGATGATTGATGATGATGCGAATCAGCTTATTTTCTCAAATTTTTGGTTATTTTGACTTCTGTATTTGATGTTTTGCACATCTGATTTGGGCGTATGTGTGTGTGCTTACTTGATGTAAAATGGTTTGAAAATTGCTCTTGGGTTTGCGAGATGAATTTATACTAGTCTTTTACTGTATTTTTCGTAGTTTTCGCACCTTGCATGGGTCCAAACAGATAGGAAGTCAGGAGGACTTGGTGATTTGAACTATCCATTGATCTCTGATGTCACCAAATCAATTTCAAAATCCTACGGTGTGCTGATCCCAGATCAGGTATGAGATTTAATTATAATTGGTTCTGAATTTAGTGAATAAGAAACTTGTGGGAGACTCAATGATGTTATAATCTGGATTACTTAGAAGTTTGGTTTTGCTGTGATAGGGAATTGCATTGAGAGGACTTTTCATTATTGACAAGGAAGGTGTCATTCAACACTCCACCATTAACAATCTTGCCATTGGCCGTAGTGTGGATGAGACTAAGAGAACGCTCCAGGTAAACATATTCATCAAGGCCAAGATAGAAATGGGATGATTTAGTTTCCAAGATCTGCCTTATATCTGAGAAATTCTTTGTTGTGTTGCCTATTACATTTTCTAACTGCTTTTTGTCGCTTCTTTTCTTTGCCTGGGTTGGATCCTGCAGGCCTTGCAGTACGTTCAGGACAATCCTGATGAAGTTTGCCCTGCTGGGTGGAAGCCTGGGGAGAAATCCATGAAGCCAGACCCCAAGCTCAGCAAAGAGTACTTCTCCGCGATATAGTGGTAGTACACTGCATATCTATGTCGGATTCAGATAGGGAGTTGTACCCAACCCCCCACTCAGACTTCCAGGAAAAAGTCCTCTACCTAGACTCAATCGGCCTCGACTTCTTCTCCTTAATCAACCACCACCCTCCGATCCTCTCCTCCCCTCTACCCCACATCAAATCCACCGTCCATTTCCTCCTCACCTCCATCGGCTTCACCTGCCCGGAGCTCCGCCGCGTCATTGGCATGTGCCCCGAAATCCTCTCCTCCCGTGTCGCCGAAATCGTCCCCGTCCTCACCTTCCTCCTCCGCGAGGCCCGTGTCAATGGCTCTGATCTCCGCCGCGTCCTCAATCGACGCCCCAGATTGCTCACCTGCTGCGTTAAGACCCGCCTCCGCCCCACCCTCTACTTCCTCCAGAGCATCGGCATTTCCCAAGTGAACAAGCACACCTCTCTCCTCTCCTGCAGCGTCGAGGACAAGCTCCAACCCCGAATCGACTACCTCGAGAAAATTGGGTTCTCTCGCCGAGATGCTCTCTCCATGTTTCGGCGGTTCCCGCAGCTCTTCTGCTACAGCATCGAGCAGAATTTCGAGCCGAAATTCAATTACCTCGTGGTGGAGATGGGGCGAGACTTGAAGGAGCTCAAGGAGTTTCCGCACTACTTTTCGTTCAGCTTGGAGAATCGGATTTGGCCGAGACACCAGCGGTGTGTGGAGAAAGGGGTTTGTTTTCCTCTGCCTGTGTTGTTAAAAACCAGTGAGGTTCAGTTTCGGGATAGGCTGGAGATTTTTTGTAATTCTTCAATCCCTTTCAGAAATTCTCCTTTGTGGTGTACAAATTCGATTTCTGATGATTTGGAAAAAGGATAAAAATTGATGGTCTTTTTTATATTTTGTTCGAATTTTGGCGGATATATCTGAAAATTAATTTTGAGGAGTAGCATTTTCCAAATACCCAATTGAATTTAGGGGGTGGTTTGGAGATTTCTCAACTTTAGGAGAAGTTTAGGTAAGAATTAGAGATGTGTTTTACTATACATTGTACAATAATACTAGAGGTATCATATAACACAACAATTGAGATGAGAATATGTCATTTGCTAGTAGTAAATGTGGTTGAAACCTGAAAGTGGATTGATGATGAACAAAAATGACACTAGTTTTGAAGGAGGTTTCAAGTTCAAATCATATTGATTGATGGCCTAGTTGTGCCCCCATTCAAATGATTCTATAAAATTAGTTATAGTAATCTTTTATAAACATTATAAAATTCCTCTTAAATTATTTAAATGCCCCTTTTCTTGTTGTATTATATTTCACGCTCATGTCTAAGTTTTTTAATTGCATATATTTTGTTACTATGAATCAATGACTAGAGAGAAAAAAAAGGTGATAGAATTGGGTTGATTTCTCATTAAAAAAAGAGTTTGAAATTGTAAAAATGTTCACTCTTACTTAAATTCTTGACTTTGGTTAGCCAATAATCAAAATATTTGTTACAAAATTACGTTTTCTGGTGTAAACAAAAATTACTAGGTCTTTCTTCAAAAAAATGCAAATGACTCACTAGTGTAGTATTTTAGAGCAATTGCTTCCTTAGGCAAAAGTTATGGATTCGAATCCTAGCATCCATATAATGTATGTGAGTTTAGTATATTATCGCCCCTCTCAATTAAAAAGATCCTTAAAAAAAAGTTGGGTCTTTGTATTTAATAATTTTACTAAGTGTTAATACAAAGTCATTACAATTAAGAAATAAGAACTTACCTGCCCATATATAATGCACTCACTATGGAATGCTTGCTTAATAAAACAAGAAATTATGAGATGAGGATAGGGCCTATTAACAGTCTCTGGGCCAGACTGTGACCTCGCTGACACGTGGAGAATGGGCTGAATGATCGCCACGTGTCGTGGACAATAGTAGTAGCACCAAAGTTTATGTACGTTGTGGTCACCAGAATTTAGGGTTGGAGAGGAGCTGTGAGAATTGAGCCTGAAATAAAAATCATAATTTGTTTAAAGACAAATAAAGGCGCGGATCGGCGAGTCTTCTTGTATTTTTCGTTTCTTGTCTTTTCTATTAGCAGCTTCGACTTTGGCCCCATCCTTTTGGAATAATTCCAAACAGGGCATCCAAATATACTATTTTTCCAAAAACTCCACGCCTTTTGTGTCTTTTTTTCTTTTTTCATTCATGCCCCGTGTTGGTCTCCTTTTTCTTTTGTAAATTAATGAACATTTTTGCGTACGGATGTATATATATTTTTTTTAAGAAGTAAATATACATCTCCATATCCTCTTCTGTTAAAAAAATAAATAAATTATTAAAGCTGTTTCACCACTTATCATCATCACAATCATCTTTGAATTTTTCCTATGGGTTAGTCACATAAATTCTTATATTTGTAATATTGTAGTATATTTGTATATCATATTTACTTTAATTTTTATAGATATTTTTGTATTACTTGAGTATCGCTAGTGTTGCTCGACTTATCAGTTACTTACTTTAACTAATTTCATTTATATATAAATAATTAACTTTCATTTTTTATTTAAACAACTATTTTTCATTTTGGTTATTTCTACGGTTTAACATTGTATATACTCATATATCAGTTTTTGTTATAGTTGAAGAATATAAACTCTTACATACGAAACTTGATTCAGTAAAATAATATATAATGGGTGATTCTACTAATAATAGAATCGACTATTGGATCATGAGTATTACACTAATATTATATGTATACATAAAGGCAAAGACATCAAACGGTGAAACATTAAAAAACCTAAAAAATGCCATTGATTAGATAAGATGATAAGATACAACAAATTTATATATAATAAAATTAAAATGATAATACATGTATCATTTAAATAAAATAATTAAAAACAAAACAAAAAACACAAAGCCCACTTTCTCAATGTGCCACTTATCCCACTTATCCCACTTATCCCACTCCACCACCACCATCTACCTTTTTTTTTTTTTTTTCTCCATTTGTTTTAAGGGTAATGCTACACTTACCACATTTTGATCCCACATTTCTATACTACATGATGTGGCATGTCCATATCATATGTCACATCAATTAAATGAATGAAATGTATTTTAATAAATAAAATTAGAAAAACAAAACTAATATTTTACATGATGTGGTATGTACACATCAGCTACCACATCATGTGGTATAAAAATGTGATAAGACTAATATTATTCTTGTTTTTATAATTAATGCTAATATAAAAAATACATAAAAATTAAAAATGTATATCAATTTTTCAATAAAAGCCAATTGGCATGCGCATGAGCGCGTGGCAAGAGGCTAGTTTGTGTGACGCTCGCTCATGCGAATAGGCTAGTTTGTATAAATAATTACATTTGATAAAAAGAAGTTGGAGTAGTGTCAATTTTTAAAACTCACCTCTCATCTGGGCAACAACACAATTATGAAAAATACAGGGGTCTAAAAAAGGAAACCAGTTAACAAATTAATTTTTTCCGCCGTGTTCCCTCCACATCTATCCGAAACTAAAAATTCCCTCCCTTCCCTCGTTTTCTGCTAGCTCTTCCCCTAACCCCTTAACCCACTTTCCCTCTCTAACCCTCACTTTCTCTCTCTAACCCCTCTCTTTCTCTCTCTACCCACTCCGGATCCCATTTCGCCTCCCTATAAACCCTAAACCTCCTCCTCCTGCCCTCTCTCTCCGATTCTCTCGGTTCCCCAAACCCTAAAGATCTGTCTCTCCTTCACCGATCGTCTTTGGCAATCGGAAACGGCCGATAGTTCGAGCCGGTCGATCCCTCCATGTCCGGCTGCGCTCGAGCTCCCAACCGCCAACCAACGCCGGCGACGGCGGCCACCGCCGGCGGCACCCAGATCCTGCCGCCGCTGAGGCGTCACCTCGCGTTTGAGTCGACGAAGCCGCAGCCCTTCCCTCCGGACAATTATCATCGATTTGCTGGAGGTGCTCGCAGAGCTGGTGACCAAGAACCTGAAGCTATTCATGTTCGATCTCCTGTGAGTTAATGCCATTTCACGCATATCTGCGTGTCTATCTCGCTGCGTTGCTTTGTTTTGGGGAATTGTGTTGTAATTGCTTGAGGATTTGATAATTGTGGTGAGGAAGATGGTTAGATGCTTTCAGAGTGCTTGTCTGGATTTTTGGCTGAAGTGTTGGTTTGTGTGTTTAGGGTTTTTATGAGATTGGTATCAATTTGTAATAAGAAAATTGTGATTAGCTCATCAGTGCTATTTTGTAGGTAATAAACCCCTATTCTTCACTTAACGCTAAGGTACTGATTGTTAAGATATTTAATTTGGTGGTACTTTATTTATCAACATATTGCAATTTTGTAAGTTAAGCTAACAATAATAAAATCGTAAGTTTAGCTCAAAATGCAACTTGTCAAAGTGAAGAATTGGGAATGTTCGTGATGAGGGAAAAACTGAGATGTGGATATCTGATGCGGTGCTTGTGTTTCACATTATACTCCGTTTCCTAATCTGCTAAGAAGTTACGGGTGTGACTCTAGGTTTTCGAGTTGTAGTATTGGCTCCTTTCTGGAATCAATTGTTGCTCATGAGATGTGGTGATTTCTTGAGAAGATTGCATAATGCTTATCTGTTATATGTTTAGAACTTGAAAACAGGTGCATTTGTGCTCTGTGTGTTTGCAGTGATTCTATCCTTATGAGAGAGAAAGACATATCATATATGTCTGTTTAGTAATCTTAACTTACTTTTTATTTATTTAAAAAGAATAACTCCTTATTGCTTTGCCCATTTACCTTGATGTTACTGTCAACTATGCTTAGTGGCAAGAAATTCTTCCCATTTCAACCTTGTGGTTACATCCTTCACCCTCCAACTCAGCTGAATTGATTTGCAATTTTTATCTCATTGATACCCTTCATTATCTAATAGATCCACCATAGTTGTGCATTTTAACTAGCATGGTTTCTAACTTGCCTTGTGCCTATTGTTAATGATAACTCTTCAACTTTGCTGGTGTTTTCAGCAACTTACACGGAAGGATAATAATGAAGCTGAGTACAGTGATTGGACTAGCAGTCCTGGATATACTAATGTCGTTCAGAGTCCCCTTCAGACTCCCGTGTCTACAAAAGGGGGAAGGATAAACAATAGGTCAAAGGCTTCAAAGGGCAATAGATCCGGGCCTCAGACACCTGTGTCAAATGCTGGTGGGAAATTTTCTTATCTCTTCGGTTTTTCTTGCTTGACTTTCATCATTTCTTTGGCCTAACTCAAACAAATCACCAAGATAAGCTTCAATAAAAGTTTAGTCTGTAGGGTGCACATCATTTTTTTTAAGAAAAAAATTCATTTGGATTATGGGGACCAAACTTTCTTCTCTGTGGCTTTGATTTGTCTTAAACTCTTGACTATATTGTTATACAGATAAATGGATTTTTCTTAATCTAATTGGATACTTTCGGTCAATATGCAGGCTCCCCTTCTCCTCTTACTCCTGCTGGCAGCTGTCGGTATGACAGTTCTCTAGGTAATCCTTGAATGAGTTCTTTTTTTCTTTTTATACTGCCAGTTCTTACGGCTGTCAAATGATGTCACTATGAGATAACTGTACTCAAACTTTCCAGGTCTGTTGACAAAGAAATTCATCAATTTGATTAAGCATGCAGAGGATGGAATTCTTGATCTAAACAAAGCAGCAGAAACTTTGGAGGTAACCATTTTCTGCCGTTATACATACATATGAACGCATATATTATCTGTGTTTGGGTCTGTACTGATTGAAAGGTTTGCAAATGAAACAGGTTCAGAAGAGGCGGATATATGACATTACAAACGTCTTGGAAGGCATAGGTCTAATTGAAAAGAAGCTCAAGAACAGAATACGTTGGAAGTAATCTTTGATTGTTTATTCCAAAATTTCCTTTCTTGTGTCTAAATTCAATTCAAGCTCTAATAAAATTTGGAACACATGGGAACTTACACAAGGA